GTTTGGGATTGTTGTTTTCCTGGATATAGAGGCTTTTTTTTTTCTCGCCTCAGTTATTTTCTGCAAGCCTTTGGATCGTTCGTCTGGTTGTCCACCACGAAGAAATAAGATAATGAAGGAAAAATGAATGTTTTAAGTATTTCATTCCCTGGAATCCCGATCTCACCTGAGTTTAACTTGACGGGCGGAAGTGAGGACGTATCGGTCATTGATGAGGGACCCTCCAAAAAACAATTGTCCGTTCGCATCGGTGATGTGCACCATCCAGGGATATTTGTTCTGATTAGGGACTTGAGCTCCTCCGACCAGCTCTTTGCTGCTTTGGGAAACCCCACATCCTGCAAGTGAGAGCATCTCAGTCTCAGTTTGGCTGAATACATTAACATTTTCTAATAATGTTGGGCTTGTTTTCCGAACTTACTGCAAGATGAAGCGCGAGCAGCAATAAAAGAAGCTTGCAGTGATGTTGAAGTTGATGTTATTGCTTTTGCTGGATCTGATGTAATGGATGTCATTGCTGTTGCTGGTGTCGATGTTTTAATTAACGTAGAGGCAGGTGACAAAGCTGATGCTTTCGTCAGTGAAGATGCTGATGCCGAAGCTAGTGCCTGTGCTAGACTGGTTGACGAAGGTTGTGTCCCTGGAAGAGAGGAGAACGAAAACTGAGAGTCTCCTGTCTCACCATCCGAGATCGAGGAAGCGGCCTTACCACACGTGACAGTGCAGTTGAACCCCTGCGCCCTGAAGAAGACGGTATACAGGATGACAGTGAGGCGGCGCCCAACATTCACCGGGGTCTGCAGCTCAGTCGAGTATCCGCAGATCCTGAACGAAAGTAGAATCCAGAAAAGCACTTAGGACTCCCATCCATCATCCCCCCAAGGAGAGTCAACACTCAGACGCTCACCCACGGCCATTGAAGATGAAGGCGGAAGCCGCACACATGGGGGTCGGCGGCAGTTGGAAAAAATAGCATTGAAGGCTTATACGCGTCGGGCACTAAAGGGAAAAAAATCTCTCCATTAAACTTATCGTACTCGCGATGACCATTTATACTCTTCGTTCTCATTGGTGCATGTGATGCAGAAGCGCAATATTGTTGAAATTTCAAAATCACTTAACCGTACTCTCCGGAGTGGGGTTCTCACGGCTGCAGGCCTTTTATCATTTTTATTATTATGATGGGCAGTCAGATGAAAATGGGACAGGAGGTGAATCACACACATCTGAGAATGTCCCGTTTTCATTTGGCTGTCCCTCTTACCATTATTTTCGTACCATTATTTCGTATTATTGATACTACTATTTCGTATTATTGATAAGTTTAACAGAGGGGTTCGAAATGATCTCTCGGTATTTAGGACATTTACCATTTGAACACGTTCAAGTGTTTTACCTACGACGTAAGAAACGAAAGATTTAGATAATTTCTTAGTTTTTTTGTTGCCAGCTTTTATTCCATAGATAATATTCATCTGCATTCTAAAATTGTTTGAGTGTGGAGAAAGCAATACCGAAAAGCCTATTTTAAAGAGACAGGGTGGCCCAGAAGTAAGTTTTCTGATGGATTTTCAGCTACTGTAATTTCTTTTCAAGTATCGTTTTTCATTTATGTGGGATGGTACTATTCTTTTATACTTTTTTTTTTAGTTCATGTTCATGGTCGTAATAGCTTTCTGCTGAAATAGTTTATCGACTCACCGAAGCACAAAGGACCCATTGGTCCATTAATCGGGTTCACTTCCTCATGGGCCACCTTGTATATCAAGTGAAAATGGGTTGCAGCGAGAAGCAGAAACTTTAGGCTTTCCACACGGTTTCAAAGGTCAGGCGAAAAGCGTCCGCGTCGTGAATTGTGAACCGAAGAAAACCCGGTTTTATTCATGCGATTTTGAAAAAAAAAATAGAAAGGAAAAACCGTCTTAAAATAGCTTAAGACTTAAATAGCTAATAGGAAACTCACTCCGAACGTCCACATGCAGAAATGAACGAAAGGAAAATTCTCCGGGTAGTTCGCGCTGATGAGGGGAGTGGACTGCCCGGCCGTGAGCGTCGTTCTCGATCCGCATGATGGATGCTGTCGACTCTCTGCAACAGGAATCGCTTACGTTTATGTTGCAATTCCACTCTCGGGGCAAGATGAATAATTTCGATGGAAGTTGGGGGTGGTTTGTGCGGGGAGTTCCAATGGGGATGTTTTTAGTGGGAAAGAAAAATTTATTCGTGAAGTTGGCGTCCTTCCTCTTTTCGTCCTCTGCGGTTGGATGGGCGCCCTGGGAACGATGAAGCCCGTAACACTTTTCAGTCATTAATCGCGGGATGCAGACCGACAGCTGGGATGACCCGCTTCAGAAAAACGATTTTGCGGCTGTTCGACGAAGCCGAATGCTCCGTCGTGGCATTAAAATGTCCTCCATATCCGGATCCCGACGAAGGCGGCTCCAGGTCGCCCTCATTTCGCCTCTTTTCGAAGGCGGCTCGAGAGAGACCCCGAGTCCGAAAAGACTTTCGAACGCTCTACAAGCTGTCATCGGCCATCTCGGGAGCTGGAGGGACTGGGATCGTAATATTATTTTAAAAAATTCACCTCTGCAGATAATTCTCAAGAGCAGAATTATCGAAGCATCTTTCCGATGAGATTCCGTTTCCAGAAAGTTTCGAGGAAGATTATCTTCACTTTTAATACGAGAACTTTAAATTATCCCGGACTTACCATGGAAATAACAGCTGCTCATCATCCAGTATTTAACCCGGCTCAACGTCAGAACTACTTGAGATGAGCATACTTATATTTCATTTTATTATAATTTCAGTTAATTTCATAATAAAAATTTTTTTCTCTATGGTTTACTTTACGTTATCTCTGCCTTCCCTAGTAACGTAAGATTGCATCAATGATCGAGAATAAAAAGGAATAAATTAATAATAATAAATAATTTTTTTTATGCTCAAGTTTTTATCTCACAGAGCTGTTCGCTATATTTCTGCGCATCAAACTGTTCTCCGTGAGAAGCCTTTCGGTTATATGGAAATTCTGAAATGCGGGGGAGGGGGGGGGGGAATTGCTAAGCGGGCTTTCGAGGAGCTATCAGGATCAATATAAATATTAAATTTTACAATATTGGGGGAAAAGGGAGGGAGGGGGGGGCGGGGAAGGCTAAAGGTTTGCCCCCTTTCCCCCCAAAAAATCAAAAAGGGGTTATTGCCCCCGTATTCTTATTCCATTGCCGATGGACGCATTTAGAATGTGCTTCTCACGGTTCCTTTACTGGTCCCGGGTCTCAGCTTGGATCCAGGCTGAATGGCTGGAAAGTCACTCGGCTGGAACGCCTCACACAGTGGATAATTTGATTTTCTGGAAATTTCTCAGTTCAGAATGCTGTGGGATAAAAAGCGAAGGAGGACGGTACCTGGAAAACCCCTGCCTCCGACTTCCTCCTCCTCGCCTCCGACTTCCTCCTCGCCCTGAGAATGAATGAGGGGGAAGAAGGGAGAGGGATTTCGTTTAAGATGGACAGGAGGAAGACAGGTCGGACAGTCCGACACGTCACCTTTTTTTTTTTTGGAGACGAGTCTTTCCATTTATTTATATTTTTATTGAAATACGATAAAAGTGGAATAAGAATGAACCTGGGCGAAAGTGTGGAGAAGGATGAGCAGCACGGCCAGGAAGGAGACCTCCATCCTTGGCTTCCTCTGTCACCGGAAGCTTAACCGATGCATCGCGACCTGCGGCCGATTCGAAAATTCGAATTAGGACGTTAATGTTTTTTTTTTTTTCCTCTTCATTTCATCCCGAGTCGACGTCGAGCATTTAAGATAGATTGACCCTTTTAAAATAAATACTTTTGGTAGATTGAGTCGCTCAACCGGATCGTTCGTTTCTATATTCTTCATATTTTTTATTTTTTATTTCACATATATATAAATATATATATTTTTTCTTCTTGCCACGTCCCTGAAGGCGCGAAACCCAGTATTAACATGCTCTCAGAAGGGTCGGGATAATCCTCGCTTAACGGATTCCACACGCAATCACGGTCCGACAATCGAGCAGCCGACACGCGATCGCGAAGCGCGACACGTCCACGCGATCCCATCCCCTCCCACCGCAACCGTTACGCAATCGGTTAAAAGACCGCTACCTCCCTATTACTGAGGTTCTCTTGGAGCGAGAAATTCTCTGATTTTTTTTATTCATAAGAAAGAGTTTTTCTCATTCGTTAGGCCGACCTCAATTAATCCGAAAATTCCCCTTCTTCACAACCGGTACAAAATTCGATAATTACCAGGTAAAAATATTTGCGGTACGGTCGCCTCCTGACCCAGCCGGATGGAAACCGGTTGCCTTTCCTACTTCCGGTTGCCTTTCCCGTTCTCGTCTTCTTTGTGCCACCGGTCACGTCCTCGGTGACGCTAACCGCAAGAAACGCCTTCGTGACCTCATCGAAGTCGTCAATGAAATCATCGTGCAAGCAACGAAACCGTCGGATAACCCCGGAACGAGAAAATAACCGGGTCTGAAATCCACGTAACCCCAGTAATCAGTAAACCAGTTCCTCTGACCGTGACCGAGCACCCGCCCCCCCCCCCCCCCCCCCCCCCCCCCCCCCGTGCACGTCC